ACGCGCATGAGCATGGCTGCCAGGTGTATCGTTGCTCTCCACCCTAGTTGCTGATTTCCGCCATGGTGGGGGTTGGCAGGTAGGTGTGGCTTCCTAGAGAGTACAGCGGGCTCGAACCCAGTTACTTTCAAGTTTCGGGTCATGGGCTTAAATCATTGGCCAACAGACAAACCCGAAGCATATCCCCTTCAAAACAGATTTAAGGGGAAGACGAAGCATGTCTTCGCCGGTCGAAACGCGTCGATCAGTACCGACCGACGTTCCTTGCGATTTATCTTGCCGAAAAGCGCGGACCTTGGCCGACAAATGCGGAGCCCCGGCCGCTTTGAAGTTTGCACAACGAAGCGCCCGGGGGTCCAAAATCTAGCCGTCGAACCGGCCAAAATTCGAGGCGCGCCGCGTACGGCAAAATCGTGCGGCCACGTACTACCGTACGCAACATCAGCGAAGGCGCGGCTAGAGAAGCGGCCACAATCGGAAACCTTGACAGCTAGGACCTCGCTAAGCCGTCAGATTGGACGTAAAGAATCTCAACGGTGAAGATGAAAGATTGATGATAATGACTTTGGAAGGTTGTGTGCACGTCCCTCTTGAGTCTTGCTGCTGGCCCTGGGAGAACGGCCAGTTTCCAACGTGCGCCAAAAATGTGAGCAAAAACGTGGGAGGTGGGTGGAGGATGGACGGAGAAGGCGAAGCATGCCAGATGGTGGTGTAGGACCCTTGAGAATACAGCTTGGAGATAACGAAACTCGAAGATTACTGAGTCGCTCGCGCCCCGAAAGAGCCTTCCTACATGGCCTTCGATTGAGCTTCATTTTGATTCCTGATTAGCTAATCGGTAGCTCAAGGAGATGTGTTTGCAAGATTAGCCTGAAGATTTGGAGCGTCACAGCTTTCATGAGGAGCACCAACCCCTACATGAGGCAGCGGCTTTTCTGGGGTTGGGAGATGACCTCTGTATCAATGAGTGCTTTAGGGTTTGCAGCACTAGCTCTGGCTGCTGGGGTATGGGTGCTTGGAGGACGGCATGTAAGTTTCCCGTATATCGCAAGATCAGATCTTTTTGGACTTGGCGTTCTTAGCATCTTTCCAGGCCGCCATAACTTTTTATTCAAAGGCCTCAGTCCACTCCGACAAATGCCTAACATGCTTGGAGCAAGGCTCATGTAGGCGCTCTTGTCAAGACCTGGTTAGATGTTTTATGGAACCTCTTGGTATGGAGTCCAGTGGGTTTGCATCCGCGTTTTGGAGGGAAAGAAAACTCAGTGGCTTGATCCAAGAATGGGGCACGTGTGCGAAAGTATGCAGCATGGCATGTTTGTGACAGCTAGTCAACTGTGCCGGAGGCTTTTGGTTTGAGAAGGAGCACCCATGCCAGTAACCACACTCAGGAAAGTAGCAATGGTGGTGTGGTCTGGTGAAGTTGATACATCTTGAAGACAAAAAGAATATTCAAATCAGTTCTGGCAACCCCCGCCGTGCTGCTGACAGGATGCACACGCCAAATTGCTTGTGAGCTTTTCTGCTTTGGAACATTCCTAGCATTGAAATCTTTTTCCAAGTGGTCCACAATGTGAGGTGCCCTTTGCCTGCTTCAGGTCACATCGCTAGAGATCTGCTTAAACCCCGATTGGTCTGCCAGAGTAGACCTGCAAAGCTGGAGGCAATTCTGGGCCTGAGAAGGCCACACAAAATCCAAGGATGGCAGCCGGCTGTCAACTTTGAACCGATGGAATCATGTGCAGTCGGTATTTCAGATTTCTGGGGCCTTTGTTTGCAAGTCTTGTGTCAGAACAGAAGGCGAACAGGGACTCCTGGCGGTCTCTGTAGGACCCCCTTCCACAATAACCCGTTCGATTGACGGTCAGAAACAGTGAATCTAATGAGCCCAGACCGTCGATCCTAGGGAGTTATAGCTAGGAGGGGTTTCTTACGCGGCTCGGGGGTCCACGTTCTCCCTCCTTCGTTCTGTCACTTTGCCAGGCTCTTCCCCTTCCAATGCTTTCGAAAGATCAACGTGCTTTTGAAAAGGAAGATAAACATGCTTTGTATGTGCAGGCTGGAAATGGGCGGGAGGAGAAGAAAGTGGCCCCTTCGGTGCAGATCCCGAGTACCATTGAAGTCAGTGACGATGAGGAAGATGATCTATGGGAGCACATTGCTTCCATTCTGGAGGCGCGAAAGCGGGGCAGTGGTCACTCGAAGGTCAGAACCGCTTCTTACCCTCCTTTCTTCTTTCTTTGGTGTGCTGCCTTCCAAGGTTTCGCGGCGAAGCTGATGGGCTTACTGCCGTCAAATATCTATCGCAACCCGTCTGCTTCAAATGTACACTCCCCTTACTGTCACTCTCTTCTTGCTGTGTTGGAAGACTAGAGAAGATCAGATCTTGGGAATGAAAGGTACTTCTGGGTGTTCCAATAGCCCTTCGTTTTGGAACTCATCACAGCTCTTCCAAGAATTCGAATTTCGCCACACTCATTGTTCCCAACTTTCAAGTTCCCTTTTCTAGATCTATTTTCTTGGGACATGTGTTTTGTAGGTATAGAAAGAGAATACTGAGGACACCTTTCGTTCAGCTGCTGACACATGATGTAGGTTTAGCGCCGACAGAAGAAACAGCCCTGCACTGATGTGCTTATTTTGATGCACACTCCTTATGCCATGTATCGATCTGCTGGACCGGAACAACCGAGGTTTTTGAGCAGAGAAATTCAATGGTTCGGAGGGGAAGAAAGATTGATCAATGTCGAAAGGTGATGATGGATGAGTTGTACCTTCTGCAGCTGAGTGCTGAAGACGACGAGGAAGTCTGGCGCATCATTGAGCAGATCGTGGCCGCCCGGGCGCGTTCACACCCAGCCTTCCAATCCCCCGATAAGGCCAGCACCCTCAGTGTGAAGGAGCTCCGGCGCTGGTTTGAGAGCCAGGCGGTGGAGCGCGCGGGTCAGTCTAATTCTGCCAAAGCTCGGGGGGAAAGGGGCCTGCGAAAACCTGGAGAACTCGAGAATGAACCCCTTGTGGAGGGTAAGAATGGGCTCCACAGGCAGGGTGAGAATGGGGTTCAGGGGCGGGGGCAGAATGGGCACCGGGAAAGTAGTTACGGGGAGAAAATCTCGGTTAAGGCCGTTTTATCGGACGAAGAGTCGCCCAATTCAAAGCGGGAGTGGGCGGCATTGAAAGAGGCTGCGTTGCTTGGAAATAATTTTGGTCGGGCAGGAGGAGAGGAAGGAAGAGACGTGAAAAGTAAGGAAGATCCACTAGGAGAGAGGAGAGAAGTCGGGACTGCTTCGACGGCGAGAAAAAAAAGCGAGGCAGAAGCAGCGGAGGCGGCCCCTAAGGCGAGTAAGATTGTGCGGAGGCGAAAATCGATTCCGAGCGAGAGCGATCTCAATGCCATGGTGGCTAACTTGGATGAAAACGGGGGCCAGTCGGAAAGGGAAAAGGGAGAGGAGAGAAAGGAAGACGCTGATGAAAGGCACTCAAATGGAGATCAGGGAAAGAAGGTGGCGGTCAACGGAGATACTGGTTTGGAGCAAGTGTCCGTGTCGGGGGGGTCCGAATACAGGGGTCCGGCCGGGGGGGAGGACAGGGTTGTGGTCTACATGACGTCAGTGCGAGCGGTAAGTGGCCTGCGCTTTTGCTCGTCAAGTACAGATGCGGGGCCATTGCCTAGTTCACGTATTTCTCTTAATCAAAGCTAGCTTTTTTTCTCCCTCGTTCCTTTCGTTCTGCTTTCTCTTGATTGCATTGTCTTTGTGTCGTTTGACTGCATAAGTCGAATGTGTTCCTCGTCTGGGCAGTCACGAGAGGAAGTATTCATGCCTTGCTCACAGCCTAGTTTCCTTTCCCATTCAGTCGACGTTGGTCTCGTCACAAGGCGTGCTCCCATCTTTCGGTCCTTATTTCCTGCTTGAACGTGCGACTCTCCGCTCGTTTCCAATCTCTGGTCCCCTGCTCCGACCTCTGCTGTGATCGAGCGTTTGATTGTCGACTTGATTTGTGTGCCGAACTTGTTCGTCCAACGTTTTGTTTCTTGTCTTCAGGCCCTGCGACGCACATGCAATAGGGCCCTTTCCAAAACTCGGATGACTCAGACGCCATCAGAAATACGACGCGGATCCTGCAGTCGAAGCTTTTGCTTGCAACCTCAGGAGCGCGGAACATATAAGAACTGCGCAAAAGTTGCGTTAGACTCCAGCCCTTGTGTGCACCGCCGAATACCGGCAGATACTTCAATGTTTCAAACTGAAACATCAAATCGTACATCCTAACAAGTGCGGTAAGAATTCGGGGACTGCACAATTGTGCGTAAGGCCGTCAGCCGTGTGGATCGACCACCATACCAACGTTGCAGTACTCTCAGCTTCCAGAACATCCATCGTCACGAACTATCTGAACAGGTGCGCAAAACGTTTGAGGAGTGCGCGACGGTGCGTCAGATCTTCCACGGCTTCAGCATCGCCGTGGACGAGCGTGACATCAGCATCCACCTGCCGTACCGCCAGGAGATGCGGGACCTTATGGGGGGGCGCCTCGTCAACGTTCCGCAAGTGTTCATCCGGGGAAAGCACATTGGGGGAGTCCAGGTGAATCTCTTCGTGTTCCTTCAATATCACATGAAAACCCTCGGAATGACTTGTCATTGAAAAGAGACGAAAGTAAGCACTTATGTTGTGGAATTGTTGAAAGGGCCGGCACGTCATCGTTCCGCAATTGTTTATTCGGAGGAAGCACATCGGGGGCTGCAAGTGAGGGCTTTCCCTTCGTCTCCTATTTAATGCAAATTTCGTTTGATCGCGCCAGAAAACCTCCTTTCCAAAGGTATCTATGAATTGAGGTGGGACAGCTGTCTGCGTTGAACTTGCCATCGGGTTCCCACTTTTTCGAGCCAAGTTCCTGATCATGAGCCGTCCGATGCCATCCTTGTCATCGATCGGACGGTACAAGATCAGGACCCATGCTCCGAGAATTTGGAACCCGACGATTCAAAGAGCTATCCCATAATTCGGAAGGTGGCTGGACACTGATGCACGCGTCTTATTCTAGGGCAATACTTGAGGGGTTTTTCGGTGAGCTTCTGGATGATCCGCACAGATGTTGCATTTGCAAGGGTTTTCTGTTTTTTTGGGGGATGTATGGGATTTCGCTCGATGTTCTGTCGCAACTTCTCAGTTGAGGAGAACGCAGACATTAAGACAGGCATCTCCTTGCGATACCTTGCTCGTTGCATTTAGCAATCTGGAAAGAATGTGATTGCAGATTGTTGTCTTGGTTTCTGTTTCTTCGCGGTCTATCAAACGCGTTCCCAGTCAAGCGTGTCGATTTGGCAGCGCCAGTCGAGGCCTCCATTCCTGGTCACTTCCGAACTTCCATCTCCCCCTCATTCTGAAAACCCTCTGTCGTTGGTTTTAACGAGCTGTCAATTGAACACATCCGTCTGTGGTTGCAGGAGGTGCGATTTCTCGCGGACGAGAAAAAGATGCACGAGCTTCTCGTTGGCATGCCCAGGATCAAGTTCACAGAGGAATGCGGGGGCTGTGGGGGTGGAAAGTTTTTGCCGTGTGTCGACTGTCGAGGCAGCCGGAAGATCATAGTAGGGGACAAAGTAGAAACGTGCTTCGCGTGCAATGAGTACGGGCTGATACGGTGTCCAATGTGCGCTTGAGGATGATTGCGTCCAATTTGTACTGTCCCCGGTGGTGAGTATGTGTATGAAAATGGAAAGCAGCCGGGACACTGTAAGATAGACGGACAAAATTGATTGCTATTCAAGTGCATGATTATAGCAGATTTTCTAGCTCGATTCAAATTGGTCTCTGGGTCCTTTGCCACGGAAAGATGCCTCGTAAGCAGATACTAACATGCGAGTTTTTTCTTGACTGAATGGCTGACGATGGTCGAACTTGGCGGCAGCCATTGCACCGGCTGGCATGACATAAACGGTTTCAGATCTTAGGCGCGTTATACAATGGTTGTTTGGAGCTCGTCATAGTCAGAACTCGACACATCATATATATTCTCGAATCAATGCAGGCTGGTCGGATTTTATGTTCAATGACACTCATGCTGCATCATGAGTACCCATGCAATTGATTTTGCACATCATTGCCCAGCTTGAGTAGAGCCTCGGAGTCCGGCAGACTCATCCTCTTCATATTGCATGAATGAAAGCATGTGCATTGCATGCTGCCTGGCGCAGCTAGATGCCGAGCCTTCGACAGGCTAGGCCGCGACTGTCTTCTGAATTGAAAACTGAATTATTCAAAAGAACATGCGGAAAGCTATATGCAGAATTGGTCGTTTCACAAGATCGCTGGCATGCGCGTACTTGAAAGCTGCCGGAGACCCGGGCAGCAACACGCATGTACGTGCATGCTAAACTAGATAAACGATTGTCAGACGACCGTCTGACGTGTATATCATTCAAGTAGGTACGTATCATCATGGTCCATGAGATCGGGGCTACCATCTTATAACAGAAATCGGCATGCGCGCCCTAGAGATTGCGTTCTCCTTTGCAATCTGGTCACCAGGTGCTAGCTGAAGCACTTCGCGGTGTACTGATTGTATGGATGGAGGCTGACTATCTGGTCATCTGGAATTACTTTGTGCAGATTGTCAGATTGTCAGTGTGTCTGAGTGGCTATTTTGTACAGGCGATTGATTCCAGGCTACCAGGTACTTGAACTACAGCCAGCCAGCGAAGATCGCCGCTTTTGCATGGTGCAGAGCAGGCCAAGCCTGCCTGCGTCTGAAATGCGACACCAGACAAGGACGTGATTAGGGTTCCGCAAAATTAGGGTTCCGAGCGTGCGGTGGCCGGGGCGAACTTTCCGGTCATAACTTGCTTGTGCGCTGGAGTGGAGATTTTGCCCGGTAATTTATGGACTAGTTGCATCCGGTCTGCCGCGATCTGAGCAACCAGTTATATACCCTTCTGCAGTTCTCGTAGCGTTGACCACATCACTTTGCAAAGCCGAAAAGCGGCCGAAAGCCTGAGCCCGGCATTATCAAGCTAGCTGAGCTGTTCGGATCGTCCTAGCCGGGCCTCAGCTGCCCGGCAAATGCTGTACTGTCATGTAGTTGACTGTACGACGTCTTCGCGTTCAACTCTGATTTGTTGCAGAACTTGGCTCGTGACTCCAACGTATTCATGTTGTCGGACGTTCTTTCAACATTTCAGTGTTCAATCGAACACTGGCTACGGGACCAGGCTACGGGAGCGTGGCCGGCTGCCGGTGCGCTTCATTGAGGCCTGCTTGATCTGGCCAGGGATAACTTGGACAAGAGTCTTTTGCTGCATACTAAGATTGTTGCCCATGTCTTGCTTCTCTGCTTCACAGGACGATTGTAAGGAAGTTCAGGCGCCAAAGAATAGTATCCTTCGCCGAATTGACAAGACGGCAGAGGACAAAGTCAAACTTAACATCTCCAAGCCAGCAGACTCCTCAACAAATGGCTCCTTTTCAGCCGTTTCATTCGGAATTGCTCTTTGTCCGTGCAACTGCAACAGCTGCAGCAGCCCTTGAGCAGATACTCACGTGCGCCGGATTGGGATCAGAGGGGCCGGATCACAAGAACGAGGCAAAGAACAAAAAGACCGTCTCTGCTTCGACTCGGCTTGAGATAGATGAGGAACAACTTCGTGCAATAAGCCACTCCTGCGCAGCTCTGCAGATTTCAGCAAGCATGGCATGCAGAAGTGTCTTCCATAGGATCGAGGTTCTTCAGCAAGTCACAGTCTCAACTTCTAGTGCTGGCAGTAGGGAGCTTGGTGGTAACGAACAACTCAAAGGGGCGCCAATCTCACCAACTTCGACTAATATGGACAAGTCAGTGTCAGCTCAAGACGTCTCCATGACGTCAGGTGTCGGTGGTAATTTAGACGCAGAAACAAAGAAGAAACGTAGGAGGCAAAGGCGTCGAAAGGGCAAACTTGAGGAGGAAGGAAGTGAAGGTGCTTTCGAAACCGAGGGCACATCTAGCGCCGAGATAATGAAAGGGTCTTCAAAGGTCGAACAGATTCTAGATGAGTAGGATATAAGGGTGCAGACTTCGGTACAATTCAGTGCCACAGAGGCCTCGCGTGCACAGGGCAAAGCTACCTGCAATGTTGTCAACCCTGAACTGAGGCCTCGATCTGACAAGCTGGATCTTAGTCTTCCCTTAGAAGCTTGGAAAAGACAGGAAAAACTAGAGGTGCCAGTGCCGGTGCCGGAACCTCACACGGATAGCTTATCCCTCGAAGACATCATTGCACTGCTTGGTCGAACAGCTTAAGATTGTACTATAGCTTGGTCTATATGAAGTTGTCCTGCAGCTCACGAAGGACTTGCGAAGGACCGTAACCTCACCATGCTCGTTAGGTTTGATCAGGCTTTAATTATGAAGTTGTCCTGCAGCTCACGAAGGACTTGCAAAGGACCGTAACCTCACCATGCTCGTTAGGTTTGATCAGGCTTTAATAAGGTGTGAGGTCTCCTCTTCGGATCTGCTGAACGCATGGGCTGCCCAACACTTCGAAAAGGACTTGTCGTCTCTGCATGACTTTTCAACGGTCATCCTGGGTCATCCCATATTTCAGCTTGCAATATTTTCAGTCCATGTGCACGACAAAGACGGCGAGGACATATCCACAAGACGTTGACATGTGTCCGATTTCATGAGTGTTTGAGCAATGTGAGCGGGCCATGCCATGACCGTTGAGTGTGGAGCTTCACAACCTGATCGCACTTCTCATCGGCCGCCCGGCCTAACAGCCCAACAGATTGCGCTATCATCGATCTGCGAGGGCCGCCGATTTCAATGCTTGAAAGGGATAGTATTTGAAAGCGACTGGGGTTCTGATATCGTTCTCTGCAAGCGCCCGAACCTCCGAGCCCTGCCATGAAAAGGGGTAGAGCAATTGCAAATGTGGATCAGTACTTGTGGTTGGTCACAACGGACACCCAACAGCGCACTTTCGATCAGGCCAATCCTTATCCTTCATAAGCTCTCTAGCTAACGTAGAAGAACTTCGCCTCAGAACCAGATGCCCAAACATCATTCCTGCCATTGTAAGATTATTTCACGCCCACAACCGGACAGATTTCAGTGATACGTATCCTGCAACCTTAAGTTTGTCGACTGCAGAATCTGATTTGTCCAGGTCAAGATCGGTCTCGCGATCTTATAATCCTTACTGATCTATAAGATCCTTAAAAAGAAGAGTACCGGCTCCACCCGAGACGTGAAGATGGTGAAGAAGATCCTATCGGGAGCTTTGCCTCGATACGTGCGCGGTTCTGAAGCAAAAGTCTCCAACTGTCGCAAAAGCGACGGGCTCTCCTGATCCAGAAAGGGCCGTAAAAGAAGAACCCCCTTCTCCCTTATCGTAACCAGCTGTATGCTTAGCGTATACTCCCCAAACCGACGAGCCGTTGTGCCCGGTAAAAGGACCCAGCTCCCTGCTCAGAGAACAAACAAGCCCGGCACAGCCCACAGCTCACCATCTGCTTGTACCCATCAAAGCCAGTTTCTTGGCTTCGACAACCTCGTCTTTGGAATGGTCCCAAATTTGCAAGGAGGAATCCTTCCAATCGCTTCGGTTCTGAGCTTTACAAGCGTACGTGGCCCGTAGCAAGGACTTGGGGTCTTGTAGCGGGCTTGTAACGCCAGCTGGCTCGTGAAGAACGGCTGAGAGACGTACAACGGATTACTCTCCATAACCGCTCCAGAAATGCGCAGCAAATGAGGTCTTTCCTCCGCTGCGCTTTCCAAACTTCCTTGTTTCAAATGAAAGATCCAAACTCTTGAGTTTCTGAGGCTGTTTGGAGCTGGGCACGGAGGCTTAGAAGCTTGGCGCTGAAGCTTTTGTATCTAAATTGAAGATTTTCAAGACAGCGTCGATCTGAAAAACTTGCACAGTGAAGGAACTTGTTTGAGATTGCAAGTACTTATCAATTGATAAGAAACACTTCCGGCTCTCGAACAAATGAGTATCGCCTAGGTGCAGAGATGCAGGCAGCGCCGAGGCGCTCAGGGGGCCTTCTAGGAAAGGAGTGAGACGTGTTGGGAGTACGTCATCCTATCTGTCCAATTATAGTAATGCGAGAGTGCTGACGAAGGTACACCCTCGTAACTATGTTGCGTCGACCGCGGTCGACACATGTTGACCACGAAGAGCTTGTCAGACCGACTCAGCTCCTCCTCACAAATTCATCAATAGCTCAAATTCTGTCATACTAATCCAGTTTAAATGGAATGGTAGCCCATATTCCGGTTGATCGATAAGATTTGAGACCCAGGAGGGCACTGTCCTTAATGAATCTTTCTAGCTATCTCACAGTACGAAAGTTTCCAGCAAATGTGAATCCCCAAACGTTTTTCTTGCCCTCATACTCGAGATCGCAAACCCAAATCGGCTGTCTTTTTGTCTTGTCATGTCCTACAACCACTGATGGTTCATCTGAAAACTTAAAGATCTCCAAACCAAGATTAGACCTTTCCATCACGCGCCCACTTTCCGCAACCTTCGTCTTTATCCTCGAGTAAACGACGCTCTCAAGCTCATCAAACACTGAGTCGAGGCGAGAGGTCGATAAACGAATGGCGGTTATATCGGGAGCGCCCTCTGCTCGGCGTGCTGTCTTCAATGTGAAGTCGCCCACTTCCCGCAAAAAGGACGAGCGTTCCTTTTTAAAGAGGCCCCACAAGAGAAGCCGCCCTTCCTCCCTCAGTACGACCAGGATTTTGTTCAGGTGAAACTCCCTATCTGAGCTGTCCCGAACCGAGCCACCATTCCCGGTTACCGACCTAGGCCCCTGCTTTTGTCTGGATAAGAACTTCCCCGGTACATCCCACCGAACTTTCACCAGCTGCTCATACCCACCCAAAGCCAGGATCTCCGCTTCGATGTTCTCGTCTTTGCAGTGGTCCCCGAAGCTCGAGTCTCTGCCAAAGAAAGCGTCCTTCCAGACGCCCCGGTTCTGTTCAACCTCCCGGTGGAACGTTTTGCAGGCGCACGTGGCCCGTACCAGGGACCGGGGGTCTTGTACCGCCAGCTTGTGAAGGACGACCGAAACGACGTCGCTCGGAAGAGTCTCCATGGCCGCTCGAGAAGCTCGCTTGACGCCTTTCCTCCGCCTTTCGACTTTTTTCCTTTCCTATTGTCTGCACCTCCTTTTCAAGAACTGAGTATGAAAATGAAAATTTCTGTTGTTTCCAGCGATACGCAAGCTTGGCCTCAAAATCTTTTCCGAGAAGCGAGGAAATATGAAAACCGTGCGAGCTGAGCACAGCGCTTTCTAGTTTCGACCAGTGCAAGAAAAGGCTGAAGTGGAAACCTTCTGAGGATCTCGAAGCGAACAACCGCAGAACCATATCAGACGTACAGTACAATTGAGATTTCTAGATGGAGGAAAGCAGATAGAAGTCAGAATCGCTCAGGCGGCTTCCAGGAAAGGGCCACTTGAAACGTGCTGAGAGCCATGCCACGTGTCCGACTGTACAGCGCGACACTGTTGACGCACACCCTCGTCAGTCTGAAACGTGCTGCTGGCCAAATCCTGAAATGAATACCACTGAAGAACCAGATTAACCAGAGCAGATATCGCTGACGCGACGGATCTCGGCTCGCGGCCGCGTCGGCTTGCCGCAAGACTGGTGCGTCGGAGCGCGGGCCTACATCTTGGGAGGTTTCGGTGAGGATCTTGATAAACCTGGACTCGGCCGCGGCGCGGCTTCTGCTTGCGCCGCGCGTTCAAGCGCAAGACTTCCTCACTTCTTATCTCTTTATCCCCTTCTCCTGATACGGCCACAATCTGCTTCTTGTTGACCTGCGCCAGCTAGGAGCGCAAATCAACGTGATGCTCTATGCAAAAGCAGCAGCAAACTAGATATGGAGAGCCTTCACGGCGACGTTCTTCTACTGATTCTCCGCAAGCTGGCGGCCCAGGATCCACTCTCCTTGCTGCGAGCGACCCATTATTTAGCGCCCTGTTACCGCGCCGCTGCGGAATACCCAGACATCTGGAAGGAAGCAATCTATGGCCCACCGGTTGAACACGGGACCAGTAAATCAAAGAAAAATTACTGCGAATCAGAAGCGAGAGGGCATCTGGAGGGAACGGTAGACAAGCTAGGCGGTTTCAAGCAAATGGTGGTGGCTCGGAGTGTTGATTCGGAGTGTGCTTGCAGAGCATCTCAAAAAAGAGAGGGCAGCACAAATGATTCTGATTTCCATCTGCCCCCTTTCTGTGATAGAAACATCTTACTTCTGCTAAGGCTGCATGGAAGTCTCCTTTTTTGGGGTGTGTCTGTGATGAGCTCTGACTCAGTGAAACCACAGAGAAGGGACCAGAACTCGGCAGAGCGTCCTGTAACCGTCAAAATTCCCTTGAATTTGGTTTCTCGAGCTGACTCAGACTTTCTGGAAGGTTCCTTAAGGGAAGCATGGCGGAAGATTCGTGGCAAACCTGATAGAGGCACCGCTCAGATTTAAGAATCTTAAGGGGCTCTCCGCCGAAGTGTATGCCTTCAAGCAGGACCGGTTAAGAGCAGATGCCGACATCTTGTATGGAGCATTCCATCCGGAATTAGAGAAGTGGGCGCTCAGCGCAAAACCTCTGTAGACTCTATTGCTTGGTACAACTTTTCCTTCCAAGGGTTTCCGTCTACAGATACCAATCCAAGTAAGCCAAAGACCTTAGCTGGATCTCGCTTGCGGGTCAAGTTCGACACACCTACCCGCTGGACGTTCGATTGGGTCGAAGAACACGAGAACTTACAGCCTCCAAGCTCATCTCCCCACTCAAGATTGGCGCGATGCCCTCAGGACCGCTTGGGAAAGATTTGTGAAGGAAGCTATCAAGCTTTTGATGCCGATCCTTGCCCGGCCGGCATTAAATGCCGAGCTGTATGCCTTTCGATTCTAAGACTCGCAAGGGACTCGCGTACAGTACAAAGTCAGGAGAACCGGCCCCCTGATAACAAATTCTGGTGGGAGAACTCTCCGATCCGTGGACCGTTTCGGAGTAACAGTCTGAGAGCAGGTCGCCGTCAACCACTAGTTGCTTCCCGAGTTGCTTGTGACATGCCCGGGTGGACATGGGACCGCCTCCGATCCCTAGAGATTTTCACCGAAGGTCCAGCTGTGCATTAATTCAATGCTTGGTTGAGACTCGACCTTATGGTCGGAAGCACCTTCGAGTATTCGTTGACATAGTCTTCAAAAAGAGCAAGTGTGTGGAGATGGGGCCCCAATGACTGTAGCCAAGCGAGTCGCTAGTAGAGTCTGAGACCCCGAGGTGTATGTACAAAACGCTAATTGCGGGTTAGGCCGCAAGAGGACTTCAGACTTCCTCTGTTTGCTTAACCTGTTGACTTGTATATATCCACCTCTTCGCGAGTGCATAATGCTTTGAGATTTGATGAAAGTCTTTCAGCATCAGAACGTCTTCGACTATCACAAAATGAGCATCCAACAGAACGAAGGATGCAACTGTTTACAACACGCAGCATGCTCTAGAGAGGCTTGCCATTACGATAGTCCCCGGGAAAACTTTCCAACGCCAAGCGGAGGCACCCTTGACTACAATGACCAGCTTGCGTCTGATTCAAAGGTTGCCCAGTATGGTTGTGCTTATCTGTATTTTTCATATCGCTGGAACTACAAGTTAGTATTGCATTTATTGACGGGGTGTTAACTTGTGTGAGATGTGCCCACAGATTGGCATTTAGAACGGTATGACAAACCAGAAGTCAAGCCCTCAGTCTCGTCGGGGCATAAGGTGCACATCATTCGACGTAGAACGCGGCTTGAAATTATACTGACTGGCGAATCTATCAACGAAATATCCGCCTTGAGTTGAGGTTTTTTGCGGAACCGTCCAGTCGATGATTGTTGCGACTTGAATAGCATGGATGGACGAATTGTAACTCAAACACATTTGCGGAGTGCGTGGTCGGTGAACATCTTCTCTGATGCAATGAAAGACTATTACTGGACACATCGAAGATACTCCAAATCGTATAAGGACACTCTCGTCTAAAACAGGAAAGCCTATCAAGTCTAAGAACGATGTAAAAGTTGATCAGGCTTGCGAGCTAACACATTAAGCTTGCCTGAATAGAAGGCTAAAAATTCAGCTAAGAAAAGCTTTCTTATTCAATATTCGAACGAGTCTATCAGACTTGTACTGTGGCTCCCAAAGACGCAACAAATGGAACAGATCACCAGTTGAGAGGACCCGCGAAACTTACAGGCGCTCCACAATTTTCCGATTAAGACCACCTAAAACTTCTACGACTTCCCTAACTCAAATACTTGAGTCCCACTTCAGACAAGCTATCAGAATCAAAACGAAAATTAACGTAAGACCGCGAAGGCACTTGAAAGACGTGACGCCTTGATTGACTACTGCTTCGCAACCGGAAGCTTTGTCGAGCTCACGCTCACGCGAGAAGAGGTAGACTTTACCGTCGAAGTCCGGAAGCTCGTACTCAACCTCTGGAGTAATTGTGATACTCTCATCGACCTGAAACCGCCAGGGGTTGCCGTTCCGCGCCGTCAGCCGGCCGGGGAGATCCTTAGCTCCGTGTTGCTGAAACGCGTGGACTTGCGCGGAGATCTCCTCTTCGACTACGCACTTGCCGTGCTTGACAGTGCTGCCCAGTCGTTTTGTCCACTCTTGAATGACGTCATGGAAAGGCGCCCCCCGATCGCGAGAACGCAGCTCTTGTCCGGACGAGCTAGGCGCCCCCTGATCGACAGAATCTAGCATGGCCTCGTCACTGTCCGGAGCACTGCTGGCACATATCAGGATAGGAATAGGGAAGGAATACTCGCGGTCAGGCGCTATAAACTCTACCAGACTTTGTAGCGAGTCTCTTGGCGGAGTGACGGCATCCCATCCTATCACTCTGCCTCGGAGTCTGTAGATCGTCAGATACCGTGACACTATCCCCGAAGTCGAACCCCCAGCCAAAGTTAACGTTGAATGCCGAATCTTTATCATTATCGGAGCCTTAGTCTGCTTTTGTTTAAAGTCCAGACATCCGTTTTGCATCTCTCGAAGATATCTAGCTTTTGTCAGCGCTAGCTGCTTGTAACCGCCCAACGAGGCGACTTCTGCGTCGAGTTCAGCGACGTCAGCAATTCCGTCACTAGCGCAGCCAACATGATTTTGTTCAGCGGATTTTGGCTCCGGCGCAAGGAAGGCTTCCCTCCAGACGGCAGGATCCTGTTCCGCTTCTGTTGAAGCATTTTGCACGCCCTTATGGCTTGCAGCAGAGAGGGAACATCCTGACTGGCTAGCTTTTGGAGAACGCACTGAATCACGTCGCTTGGGAGATGCTCCATAGCCGCCCAGCCGCAGCCCCGAACTGACGTCGTCACTCACTATCGCACGGGCTGTTTAGAAAGGCATTGGAGCCGCCGCGCGTGCCGCGATGGCCGCGCACTGCTGCCAGGCTTCGGCGCGTCAGGCGGCCGCGTGATCTTTCGAGCTCAACCGCACGCGTGAATGGCCGCGGCCACGGTTGCGGAGGTTCTGTGCTCTAAACCCTGCGCAGCGAGCGCGGCCGCGCGCGAAACGCGCTCAAACCGTACGTTGGCCGGCAAGGAAGTCGTTGGCACGCTAGCTGGATTAGGCCAAGTTGGAAGTAAAAGGATGGCGGACCGGTCTTCGCGCGCGGGTCGCCGGGCGGGCCGGCGGCCGACTACCCGCGCTACCGGCACGCCACGCGGTTTTGCCCGGGGTTTGGGAATGATCCTGGCCGCGGCCGCAGTCGGGATGCGAGGCGCGCACATCGCCACCCCGATGCGTCAGCCAGCCGCTCCCTTGAGGCCGGTCACAGGCCGCGCCGTGTGGCCGTACCCCTGCCGGGCCATGCGCGCGCGACGATTCTGCGGCGGCGCGCGGTGCGCCCCGTCAGCTCCAGTCACAAATTGCCCACAGGCGGCTTCTTTCGTGGCCGCCTTCGTTGTATATTGACCGTCGCTTTCTACCTAATATGCCTCGCTATAGGACTTCAACGCTGGCCGGATCGACATGGGGATCCGGATTCCGACAACGATCCGGCCGCGGCCGTCCAGCAATTGTACGTATTAAAGCCTTTACTCCGCTCTCGTTGGCATGCCTCTGGGCCCTATCTAGGTATGTCGAAAGAATCCAATGATGATCTTCAGTCGCAATTGAAGGTGTCACACAATGTATTGAGGGGTTATTGAGTGGCAAGATATATCTTGACGGTAGCTAACTAGTAGATATCCGCCCGGCACACTGAAGGCAGTGATGTGAGATGGCTTCCAACTTTTCATGGATGCACAATGATGGACAGCAAACTTTTCAAGCGAACAGTGGCCGCAATCATTTAACGACTGAGGAAACAAACTTTGAGGATCCGAGGGCGTAAGGAAGCTTGGAAGTATTTGTTTTTACACAGGCACATGGCCGACAGACCGCGCCCTGCAGATACCTTTTATTGACTGCGGGCGAAAGGCCCATGAGATTCTATTTGAAAGGCTGCAACTTGGGCAAACATCTAACAGTGCACAAACTCGCCGGGACCGAGAAGCTAATGATTTGAGTGTACTTACAGAATACCTAACTCGTACAGGATACATTGCCTAAGACTACGTCAACTTATGTTTGGAAGTAGCTAGAGTTCTCTGAGCCTGCCCGCTTATTTACCTAGTATTTCCGCCAGCTTTTGACGCGCACGTTTTGCGCTCGGTATACCCTCAGGCACCGGCGACATCATTCTACTTTGCCAGGTTTATTTACAGCTGCAGGTTGTCAGGGCCGCCTTTGGCAACCCCTTCTCGTGTATACCCCACTCAACTTTCACCAAGCCCAGACTCACGATACCCACTCCGTTTTCCGAGCCCGAACAGGGCCTATTTTACATGGTCTTCATAGAACGTAAACACGCTGTCCGAGATAAGAACCGGCAGCTTATTGACGTACAAGAGGAAGCGCTCGAGGTTTTCTTTTGCGACCGTGCCCATATCCACCAAGTCTTCCTCGTCCGTGAAGACCCACAAGTCGCGCGAACGCACCCGCTTCAGGCTGTCGCGGCAAAAGGGGCACGACTGGGAGCGGCTCTGCCTGCAGGAAGTATTCAAACTTGGTTAGGGTAACATTTTGATACTTCTTCTCGGTTCACGTGCCTTTGAGAAGGACTCATCCGTAAGTGTCCCGTTTGCAGGCTGCCCTGGCTGTGAATCCCGCTCGAAAGTTGAGCAATGAGGCCAAAAGCTCGCCGACTTCCCTAAGTTAAGAAGGCGTAACCAACGCCAGGTAACCTGTCAGTTCCAGCTTCAAGTCGTTGCAAGCAGACACGCGACAAGGGGAAGCGTCATTGGCTGCAACAACAGAGGCCTGGGGGAAACAGTTGATGTTGACTTCAGGGAATTCTACTTTGCGGTGATGAAGGTACACAGGAAGCGGCTGTGCATACAGGGGTTTGGAAAAAGGGGTGACGCCATTGGATACGATTCGGAACCGAGATCCGTGAGTGGCGTATATGGCCTCCCTCAAAAATCAGATAACATGATCCTTCTTCGCAAGTCGTCTGTGGAGACTGTTAAAAGAAACGTGTAAGCGCGCCCCAAGCGGATCGCAATCTACAGTGATAGTTAGTCACTTGCATAGAATCTTTGCGTATACTCTTAAATCCCAGTCTAACAATATCGATTGCGGCCTGACGAGCTGGTCACGTCGAGCTGTACGCATGGAATATGACGTCAGAAAGTCTGCCGGACCGGAATGACGTATCCAGGCCCGTTTGTCGCTTGAGTAGCATTCATTACAACCAATCAAGCAAGTCCGACAGGATACTGTTTACACAATTTGGTGCAAAGCACTTTCTGAAGATGTACGCTAGTCTTATTGCCAGTAAGAGCAACTTCGACATATAAGTGGACAGCGGATCAAGTCGTCGGAAGACGACTAATATTTATCTAGCAAGTTGTCCTTGGTAATCCAACCGTTTGATTCAAGGCACCCAAGCGGATGCGTTCCGCTCACATCCGTCCGGATGAAGCGCTGCAGTCTCATACGTCTCTCGAAAAGGGGCGGAACGGTACTCGCATACAGTCCGGATGACCCGTTTTATAACGTAGTCTCCGCTTGGATCGCCCGCTTCTTAAATTGAGTCCGACAGAGGAAAGTAACATACTCACAATTCTCATACAATTCGACTTGAAAGATAGAGCCTTATCAAATGGACAGCAGTAGCTATACCGTTTCTTTTGGCGCTTGGCCAATTTAGTTGACGTCACACGAAAACATGAAGAAAAAGATAGCGATAGATGACTCTTTTCCGGATCTCGGATAAGCATTGGCAATCTGATATTCCAATCTCATCATGCACGAATTCTTGATCAACTCCATATCACACCATTTTTGGACCCCATCGTTGGATTAGTGCGAAGTAGCATACTGGGCCGGGTTGGACTGAAAAAGGAGGATACATCGCTTCTGATCTGCAATCCTTCAGATTTACAAATTACTTTGCGGCTCCAACCTCAGAAAGTTCCAAGCTCACGGACTTCGTTCCAATCTACGGACCCGTCTTTCATTCTGATGCGCAGATCGACCTCCAAGACGCATTGCCAAGCTGCTATGATGCCTAGATTTTTACGAGACTCCCTGATCACGCCACGTTCTCTGTGATGGTTGGCCACAAGAATCTCAATCTATAGTCAGTAACTGTGCAATAAACTCACGTTTTCGTTTACTCAACGTGGAACGCCCACAGAAAAGAAACGTCCAGAAAATTCAAATGCTAGAAGTTCAGTATCTTCTCCTACATATGTATTGCACGACCAGGTCTTCGGTTTCCTTGGATTACTGTGAGATTCTTGGAAATCGTATATCTCCAAGGGAATTGGCCCCTGCACAACATGATTGCTGCCA